ACATCTTCATTAATGATGTGGACATTGGTGTCAGGAGCAGACTGGCCAAGTTCGCTGATGACACCAAACCTTGGGGTAAAGCATCCACACCTGAGGACAGGATGGTGATCCAGGCCAACCTTGACAGGCTCAGAAAATGGGCAGATGAAAATCTGATGACCGTCAACTCCGAAAAATGCAAGGTACTCCACCTTGGGAAGAAAATCCTGCAGCATGCTTACAGGCTTGGCAGTGCTATGCTTGCTAGCACCATGACCAAAAGGGATTTGGGGGTCATGATTGACCACAAGATGAATATAAGCCACCAATGTGATGTTGCAACCAACAAAGCGAGCAAAACTCTGGCTTGCATCCATAGATGCTTCTCTAGCAAATCCCAGGATGTCATCCACCCGCTGAACTTGGCCTTGGTGAGGCCGCAGCTGGAGTACTGTATCCAATTCTGGGCTCCATAATTTAAAAAGAATGTGGAGAAGCTTGAGAGAGTCCTGAGGAGAGCCATGCGTATGATCAGAGGGCATGAAAACAGGCCTTATGATGACAGGCTGAGAGCTACGGGACTCTTCAGCCTGCAAAACCACAGGCTCAGGAGGGACCCGGTGGCTGCTTATAAGTATATAACGGATGTGCAACAGGATCTGGGAGAATGCTTGTTCACCAGAGCGCCCCATGGGATGACAAGGTCAAATGGTCACAAACTCCTCCAAGACGATTTCAGGCTGGACATAAGGAAGAACTTCTTTACAGTCCAAGCCCCCAGGGCCTGAAACAGACTGTTGCCAGAGGTGGTGCAAGCACCTACTCTGGATTCCTTTAAGAGTCAATTGGACATTTATCTTGCTGGGATCCTGTGACCCCAGCTGACTTCCTGCCCCTGGGGCAGGGGGCTGGACTTGATGATCTTCTGAGGCCCCTTCCAGCCCTAATGTTTGTGAAATCTATGAAATCATATTCCTGAGGCCCCGTAGGGAAAAGGACAAGAAGAAATCAGCTGAATCACAAGGATTTGCAACAAACAAGGTTTCATTTGGAGATTGAGGTAAACTTTCCAGCTGTTTGGGTAGTGGAACTCTATGACAGGTTGCTAAAACATGTTATGGAATCTCCTTCATTGGAAGTTTCTAAGAACATGGTAGATAGACATCCGTAGAGGATGGCCTAGATGTATTCAAACCTGCCTCACAGCAGGGGGATGAACTTAAGTCTTGAGGTTCTTTCCAGCCCAACATGTGCTTAAGCAAGGTGACCACAGAAGGATATGATGCAATGTAATCACAGGGTTTTTTTGTCTCCAGGGGCGCTGACAGAATTGATATTCGTCACAGAATCAGCCCCTTGAAAGCACATGTCATGCCCTGACAGAAGTGCCTGGCTTCAGACTGCTTTGAAAGTGCCCAATAGTGCAACAAGTTAACCCTCATTTAATGAAAGTACAGATGAAGGCACTCCAAAGTGGAGTACCTTCATTAACTTCTGTTTGCCCCTGCGTGCAAACCCCGACCCTAGTGTGTCTGCAGGATAGAAGGAGGGATGGGGAAGGGGAAAGAGCTCCAATCTGAGGTTTGCCAAGCCTCTACTGGAGAGGAAAGGGTGGATTGGAGCCCCCCCACCCCCCCAGCCCCCCGCAAGTTGGGTCAGAGGGCGTGTGTGTGTGTGTGTGTGGGGGTGGGGGTTGCTATAACTCATGGCTCTTTCTGTGAAGTGCCATGAGTTACAACAGGGAGCTACACATCCGTGAGTGCTCCAGGTGTCAGATTATCAGAGCTCTGAAATTCTATTCTTCCATTAATGCAACAAGACCAGTTTGTTGACCTTTGGAATATAATCCTAGATTTACCTGTTATATCATGCTTCTGTATAAAAGGTAGTGGCTTTGATCAATAGCATTTTACTTGTGGGACAGAGATACATTTTAAGAGATGTTTTGTCTGATTCAGCTTCCAGAACTTCTGGAAGGGACTTTGTTTCCCTTCCTCTTCTCCCCTAATCTCACTAGCAGCTTTCTAACGGCTTTGCAAAACTCTCCCAGCAACAGTAGGGCTCTGTAGTCAGCTGGCTGCTTGAAAGAGGAGTGAAAGGTAATACTTCCACTTTTCAATTAAATAGAATCCCAAAACTAGCTGTTGGGATGCTGCTTCTCTGTTCATTGGTACTGCTATAAAAAAAAATGGCAGTTGAAGATTTGTTATAGATAATGGGCCAATTTAACCTGGTGAAACTGGATGGACATAATGGAGGCCTTTGTGTTTATAATTATGATGAATTTTAATGGTGATACTGTATTTACCCAAATCCAAAGACAACCCTGAATTGAAGATGCCCTCCAATAATTAGATTGTCTACAAGGGAAATATATAAATTTGATGTAATCTTCCATGTACAGAAACTAATTATTGGAGGGAGGCAATAAGACAGGTTGGGGGTGGGGGTGGGGCAAGAAGCTTGAGCCCTGCCCCTTACCCCTGGCATCTTGTTGCCTACTGCCTGTCTGCCTCCACTCCTACCCCCATTTGGCTACTTCCCTTTGCCTGCCACCCCACCACCTCTGTGCCTGCCTCCCCACAGCCTTGGTCCCCCTTCCTCCTGTCTCCCTGTATCTTTCCTCCCCTTTGCAGCCTCTGCCCCTCCCTGCTGCTGCTTACTTTTGCTCCAGCTCTGCCCTGCTCCAGGGCCTGGCCCAAGCTACTGCCACAGAGGCTGAAGGCATAGTGCAGAGGCTTTGTGGGGAGCAGGAAAAGGTGTGTAGCTCCAGTCCTAACTCTGAGGTGGGGCTCGAGCCTGAGCCCAAGCCACAGCAGCTTCCTGCCATACCTCATACTTGAATTTAGGATGAGAAGTTCCCCTTCATGTTAAAATGGGGGTAAAAACTCTCATCTTGGATTTGAGTGAATATAGTACCTAGTTTCAATTGTGGGCTTGCAGAATCTAAGTTAAAATAATCTAAAAAGTATTACACTTATGGTAAATTTGTTCAAAAATAAAAACTTATTTTTCTTACCAAAATAGCCAAAGCTCTAGAAGGACAGTGGTCCCCCAACTTGGAACTGTAAATTAGCACAAAAGTGACCAAGCAGGAACACATTTTTATTTTTTCATCCCATTTTGCAGCTTCAAACCATGCAAGTCTCTTCAAATACAAAAAGATAATGAATAGCAAATAGGCTTAGAAAGCAAGTGCAATTTCCATCCTGTTTAAACACACTGATGTGATTGCACCAAACTGTTTCAATAAACACAGACATGGGGAATATAAATAGGAGGTAATATTTAGACAGTGTTAACATTTCTCTGTTTTTTCCAATCAATTGATGATCTAAGAGGAAAAAAAGCATCAGGTTATTGCATTTGTTACAGAAGCTGGTGTTCACTTTTCCTGCAGTAATCTCATAACATTTATTGTGTTTGTGGTTTTCATCTGAGATAAAAACAGGCTAAAGTTCTGAAATATAGACTTATAAATGTCAAAATAAAAGCAAATTTGCTTCTACAGTAATATGGACTATATCATTAATTTTATTAAGAACCAGTATTACATAAGAGGTATGTACAGAGCATTTATATATGTGGCTATCAGCTTCATTTAATTTCAATCTAATTCAAACCATAACAGGTATCTATCAAGATCAAGATAAATTATATTACTATACTTTGCCATAAAGTGTTTTATAACTCATATCAGGCTAGACAGTATTTATTCTACAAGCTTTCCAGTAATTATAGATGTTATTTAAATATTCTGTGTGTGTGCTCTTATTCTGAAAAGCATAGGGTAAATCATGTACCACCACCTTGGAAAACTGACTTAGCACCTGTGGGGAAGATGATATCACACTTCCTTGGTAGTAATACAATAAGCCCTCAGTTCATACTTAATTGTAACATGACATGTAGGAAATAAATGCTGTGTAGACTGAAGAGAAATGACAAATATCTCAATTTTAATTATTTATGCTTCCACAGCATAGCCCAGTTAACATTACCCTCTTTAGTAATAATTCTCATTTTCAGGTGGAAATTTCTGCTACTATGTCTGCTTCCCAGACCAGATCTCTTAGAGTCTGGAATAAAAGAGTGCAGATGAAGGCAAGGGAGTTGTACCCTCAGAGATCAGGGCTGAATTTAGGTCAGGATGTGTACTGCAGGAGCTGACCAACAACAAATAGAACTAATTTTGGATAAATCCTCTCCCCAGGGGGTGTATATACTTGTGCAATTAGCATGTAGTAATAAATTCCAGCGCAGTTTGCATCAGAGTTTTTCTCCCGAGGTCAGCATTTATACATGCTCCCAGGACTGTAGCATGTTTTGCCGTGGCAGAGCAGCCCTGGGCTGGCAGGGGGGTGGGATGTCAGCCTTCCAACTCAGGGCTGCTCCAACCTGGCTCAATGTACTGTCGAGGGGCTGGCTGGGGCACAAGGTTGCTACAGTGTGGGGCTAGCCAGCAGGAAATCCCTCCACTGTAACACCCTCATGCCCCAATCAGGCCTGGTCACTGTCTACCCACATGTTTTGGCGAGTATACCTACTCTACTGTAGGAGCATACTTGTCCTGGACAATACATGTCCCAGCCTCCCTGCTGCAGATCAGCCCAGCTGCTGGCTCCACACAGCAAGCTCCTGTGATAGGCCCTCCCCCAGGAGTAGCTCCTATCCTGACTAATACTGGCCTGTTTGTTTCCCTGCAGCTAGCCCTAGCACAGCTACTAGTCCCACGCAGCAAGCTTAGCCTGCTGCAGCATCCCCTTAAAGTAACATGAGCTTCTGGCTCCCTGTTACAAACTGCAAACAGCACGTATGAGTCTTCAGCCTCTAGAAACATGGGGCAGTCCAGGGAAAAGTAAAACTTAGACAAAATAATCCTAGAAATGACCGGGGATCGGGCCTGCCCAGCCCACATGTGAAGGCCTCCTTGCATGAATTTCAGGCCTACATGCTTGAAAGGGGTGGGGGCTCACCCAGCTGCCCCATCACTTCCAGTTCTCTTTCTCCTTGTCTTACAGAATGGGTCTCATGGATCAACCTTCTCTTTACGAAGAACTGGATGTGGTCCGAAGGGGAATCTAACAGTTCCTCGGCATTCAGCCGAGACTATCTGGAATATCCAACTTGGGACTCCGCTGCCATTCATACCACTCTGCTGCAGGGATAACCCTTTGAAATTGATTTTTTAGGTAGCTGCTACAGTGAAGCAGGCCTAGTAGCAAGGCCCAAGAGAGTCACATTGTCAGGAACCTGGAAGGGAATGAAGTAGGAGAGATACTTCTTTCCATCGCAGTTTTCCCTACTCTCACTTCCTATTTGGAAGCCCAAGCAGCAGGTAATGCAAGTCAATCATTGAAGCCATAGTAATCCCTCCAGGTAACAACTATATAGCTCTCATTCCAGTTTATGTTGGTATCCCTACAAGAAGATGCCATGTCACAGCCTATAATAAAAACCACCAAAACTGATGAGACCCCCAACCCATTTTTATCTACTTGAACCACTAGTTTTAAAGTGCAGTGTTCCAAAAGGCAATACCAAATGACATCTTGTTGAGGGTTAACAACATTTACTAGCCATAAATTTGATTGATTCATACCTAGCTTTCATTCTTAAATCTGGTCCAACATTAAGACTAAATGGATATCAAAAATTGGAATAGGCAAAAAGAGAAGTGTCAATCATTGTTTTCCTTATTGCCATATTTTACCCATGCAGTCTTCAAAGAAAAGAAGAACTTTAATTGTGTTAATAATTAAAGAGGCCTGTAGCAGACAGCTTGGATTTGCTTTGGAGAATAACAGTATACTTATAGTTACAGTGCAATATTTTTGCAACCTGCAGGGTCTTAATTTCAAGATTAAGATAATAAATGTAGTAAATCACAAATAGAATGAGAATGAGAGTCAAGTTAATTATATGATTCAGTGAAAAGCTATAGAGACGGTGCTTTGAGAATTAGCATCTGTCAATCAACCGTTCTAGTATCAATTATACATATATTTCTCACCTAAAAAATTGCAACATGAAACCTAAATGCAACTTTTAAATGCCTGAATCTAAAATTGGAAACCAAAATCAAATAATTCTGCTCCTCTACAAGATCTATTCTGAAATGTCTATAATACGGGTACCATACAATACTGTATGCTTAAGACATACATTGTCATCGTGATGTAAAACCAGTGACAGACAATGTGATGTGCTCTGTATAGCAATCCTAATTTTGGGAATGACATCCTTACCTCAGTTAATCTATAGGAGTGTGTGACAGGGTGAGAAGTCCACCCTGTCAAGCGACATGAAAAGAACAGAGAACAATACTTACCATGCTGGCGAGCCCAACCTGGGGAAAAGCCATGCCAAGAGCTCTGGATGGTAATTAGCTCGATCAGCTGGGAGAGCTAGCCGTGCAGTGAATGGAGCCCTTGACTTCAGGAGGGCCAACTTCAACGAGTTAAGAAGATTGGAAGGAGAGGCAATGCAGTTCCAGAGAGTAGGGGAACTAGATGTCCAAGATGAGTGGTCGTTCCTTAAGGTGGTGATCCTCCGAGCCCAAGGGGTGACAGTCCCAACATGAGTCAAAGCAGGCAAGAGTGCTCAAAAGCCCCCTTGGCTCACCAAAGGCATTCAGGAACATCTGAAAGCCAAAAAGGAGGCATACATCCAGTAGAAGGCTTGGGGGCTATCACCAAAGAGGATTATACCTCCATAGCAAGAGTCTGTAGGGAGGCTGTTAAGAAGGCTAAGGTGGAGATGGAACTAGGGCTAGCAACAAGGATCAAGGACAACAAAAAGTCCCTTTTTAAATACATAGGGAGCAAAAAGAAGGCACCAGGCAATGTGGGGCCACTGCAGGATACGCTTGGCAATCTGGTGGTTGCACCAGATGAAAAAGCAGGCCTTTTTAACAACTTCTTTGCCTCCATTTTTCTGAGCAGGGACTGGAACTTCTCCCCCACTGGGATACAGGACAGATTCAGGAGTGATTCCGCCAGACCTAGGGTCAGGGAGGACCGAGTTAGGGAACTTCTGGACGTGTTCAAATCAGCAGGTCCAGACGCTCTCCACCCCAGGGTGCTGAGGGAATTGGCAGGGGTCATTGCGGGGCCCCTGGCACGGCTGTACGAACACTCATGGTGCTCTGGCCAGGTGCCAGAAGACTGGAAGAAGGCCAATGCAAGTCCACATTTTCAAAAAAGGGAGGAGGGAGGACCTAGGCAACTACAGGCTGGTTAGTCTTACTTCAGTCCTGGGGAAGCTCTTTGAAAAAATTATCCAGGAGCACATCTGGGAGGGACAGCAGGGGGGATGATGCTCAAGGGCAACCAGCATGGGTTCATTAAGGGCAGGTCTTGTCAGACCAACCTGATAGCCTTCTATGATCAGGTCACAAAATAATTGGATGCAGGTGTCGCCGTGGATGTAGTCTTTCTGGACTTCAGGAAGGCCTTTGACACAGTCTCCCACCCCATTCTCATCAAAAAGCTAGGCGACTGTGGCATTGATGCCTACAGTCAGATGGGTCGCAAATTGGCTAGGGGGCTACACCCAGAGAGTGGTGGTGGATGGGTCATATTCGAACTGGAGGAAGGTCAGCAGTGGAGTCCCCCAGGGCTCAGTCCTTGGGCCCGTATTGTTCAATTTCTTTATCAGCGACTTGGACAAGGGGGTGAAAAGCACCCTGTTCAAATTCGCTGATGACACAAAAATTTGGGGCAAGGTGGGCACACTAGAAGGGAGGGACAGGATATAACTGGACCTGGACAGGTTACAGGAGTGGGCGAATGAGAATAGGATGGGATTCAATACTGACAAGTGCAGGGTACTGCACTTGGGCAGTAAGAACCAGAAGCATACCTACAGGCTGGGGAACTCCCTTCTTGAAAGCACAGTGGCAGAAAGAGATCTTGGAGTCATTATCGATTCGAAAATGAACATGGGCCGCCAATGTGAGGACATGGTCAGCAAGGCTAACCGCACCTTGTCATGTATCCACAGATGCATCACAAGCAGGTCCAAGGAGGTGATCCTCCCCCTCTATGGGACACTGGTCAGGCCACAGTTGGATTACTGTGTCCAGTTCTGGGTGCCGCACTTCAGGAGGGATGAGGCCAGCATTGAGAGGGTCCAGAGGAGGGCCATTCGAATGATCAGGGGGCAGCAGGGCAGGCCCTATAGGGAGAGGCTAAGGGACCTGAACCTGTTCAACCTTCACAAGAGAAGGCTGAGAGGGAATCCAGTGGCCATCTATAAAACTTACCGGGGGGACCAGAGGGGATTGGGTGAGACCCTGTTCCCCCGAGCACCTCCTGGAGTAACAAGGAACAACAGCCACAAGTTGTTTGAGAGTAGGTTCAGGCTAGACATCAGGAGGCACTACTTCACAGTCCGGGCGGCCAGGATCTGGAACCAGCTTCCAAGGGAACTGGTGCTGGCTCCTACCTTAGGGGTCTTTAAAAGGAGGCTTGATAACTACCTAGCTGGGGTCATTTGAGTTTAAACTTAGTAGGGGTCATAAGAGCCCTGTATTCATTTCTGCCCAGGGCAGGGGGTAAGACTAGATGATCTGCTCAGGTCCACTCTGACCCTACTTCTATGAAACTATGAAACTACTCAAGAGGAAACCAAAGGGAACACAGAGAGACAACAGCAAGAAACCAACCAAGGTGACTTGGGAGAGAGTCCCAAAGACTGACTTACCTGCAGAGGTGGGGAGATGAGGTGGCTGCAGTGTCCAAGTCTTGTGGGTGCGGGCAGCCATTCCAGGGACCTGGGGGAAAGAAGAGAAGGAGCTGAGTGCTTGTGTGAGTTTGGAGCATTGACCCAGCATGACTCAGCCCTGAAAGATAAGGGCTGAGATGAACTGTGGGCCAGTCAGCTTGGGACCTGTGTGGGGAAGAACAGGGTAAGCGACCAAGCGCAAGTAACTGATCATCTAGAACTGATCAAGGCAGTCCGGAGACTGAGACTCCCATAGAGAAGGCCTGATGTGAGTAAAGTCCTAACATCTGGTGTGGTGAGGGCAGGGTATGGGATGGTGGAGCTGTGTGAAGCAGAGCCAACTTTCTAAGTTACAGAACTGACAGCATCCTTATCTCCTCGGATTGTACTCATCTTTGGTTCCTTCCTTTTAACATCTAAGTCATGGTGGGTGAATTTAAGGAGACAAGCTGATCCAACATGAGAGATGGCAGTTTTATTTTGGAGTGTTGGCTACAAATATCCAACTCGGGATCCTTAAAATACTGGTTTATTAGGCACATTGAAACACTGTAATGAAGTCAAATCATAAACCTTGGGGCTGGTCCCCCCACCCCACACACACACATGCACACACACAGTGGCAAGCTACAAGAGTCAGGTATACCTATCCCACAGACGCTGGAGTCTGCCGTCGATGGCCAGTCGAGGCTTCTTTCAGCGTGGTGTTATCCTCCAGAAGGAGGTCGCCAGCTGGTCCTTCTGACTGGACAGGTTGGGTGCTGGTCAAGTTGGAGATGAAGAGGGCGCCCCTGAGGGTCACTTTTCACTGCTTTTTATCTGTCCTTGGCAGACTTTGGCGACTCCCCAGTTTTCAGGTTTGCCCAATCCAGGGGTTGTTGACCCTCGTGGGACTTCCCCCTCAGTGGCTACTGGATGGCATCTGTCAGCCCCAGGGGTCATCCGTGTGTACATGCAGGTTTGGGAGTCCGTTGATGAATTTTGAATAGGGCTCTGGGAGCAGTCAATCTGGAGATATTCAGCCCAAAATTTGGTCCCTGGCATTGATTAACTCAGACCGGGGCTTCTAGCCCTTGAACAGTGAAGTTTAGAGAATTCTCGGTTGCTACATTGTCTCCTATTGATTTCTTCCGTTGGTTGATCTGCGGGTTTCCTAGGTGTTAATTGCTGCCTGCTACTGTGTTACGCATTCAGTCACTGATTCACTCACTCTTTCAGGGGCTCGCCTGATACAGGGAAGTGGCAGTTTGATTCCTGCCCTTGTTAACATTGCTACAATGTATAACTTACTTCTGAAACTAAACACCTTTAGTTAAAAGGTGAGGAGTATAAAATATAAGCTACAAGAGTAATGCCATGGCACACAAATAGAAAAAATACCAAAATACAAGGGGAGATACAAAATATACACATACAAACTTTAAAACACAATTCCTTATCTTATACTGAAAGAAAGAGGAAGGAAGAAAAGGTAGAAGAGGAAAAACATATCCAAGGAGGGGAGAGCAAATGCAGGCAAGAGGAAAAGGGGGCTTTCTGCTACAGGAGGACACGGCTAATCTTCCACAGGGTACCTGTACACATGTGGGGATGCTGCTTCGACATGCTGTAATTATAGTGCATCGGAGCAAATTTGACTAATCAGGTCTGCTGGAGCATGCTAATTAGCACGCTCCAGCAGCCTCTGCATCTCATGCATTCAGCGTCCCGCACTTCAAAATGGTGGTGAGTGCACTTTAACTAAAGCTCGCCAAATTATCTTTAGTTAAGGTGCCCCTGCTGCCATTTTGAAGTGCAGGATGCTAAATACAAGAGATACTGCAGACGCTTGAATTAGAGTGGCTCTGAGAGCATGTGTAAAGATGACCTAGGAGTTTTATTATCAGTTTCATCACTGAAGCGAGCCTTATACCGGTTAAGTGTTGGTTGTAGAATTCAGTCCTTAAAATGTGCTGAACATCACAAAGAGTAAATCCGGCAGCTTTATTCAAAGCTCCCAGTGACTAAAATGGCATTTTGCTCCCGAGTATGGACTATAGGCTCCATTTAATTTTCAAATGTCATATAGCAAAATTCCTGGTTCTGTGGTTCTGCTTTGGGAGAAGTGCACTGCAACTACACAGACTGAAGGTAGGAGGAGGCTGAAAGAAAGTTGCCTAGGTTCATGTGTTAACATTTCTCCCCCTCACCCTGGGTTCATTCACAAATCTACCAGACCCCAATACAGACTCTAATCCCCTGGTGGCAGCTTGAATAACAACAGGTTTCAACATTAACCCTGCTAGCTTCCACAGATCACCTCCTGGATTACTGTACTGATCCCAGTGAGGAAGGGTATAAGACTGGCTCTGAAACATTCAACACTATTTCATACAGCTGTTAATCCATAGATAGTTGCAATCCAGAAACTCCCCTGTATATTCCACATGCACATCAAAGCAATGCAAAACAGCTTCTCTCCTGAGTCACCCTGCCTGTCTTGGGAGGCTCCTTTCTTTATCTTCTGGTTTTGTGCCACACCAAGATCATTCTGCTCACCACACTCAGTACAACTTGCCTGGGGACAACATCCAGCAAGGAGCTGAGTGGAACACTT